ACCCCAGATTTTGGTGTCATCAGCAAATTTGAACAGGTTGCTTTTCACCTCGTTGTGCAAATCACTGATAAAGAAATTGAACAGTGCAGGCCCAAGGACCGAGCCCTGGGGGACTCCGCTGCCCACTTCCCCCCAGGTTGAATATGACCCGTCCACCACCACCCTCTGAGTACGACCCTTCAGCCAATTAGCAATCCATCTGATCGTGTAGGCATTGATGCCACAGTCACCTAGTTTTTTAATGAGGATGGGGTGGGAGACAGTGTCAAAGGCCTTGCTGAAGTCCAGAAAGACTACATCCACGGTGACACCTGCATCCAATGCTTTTGTGACCTGATCGTAAAAGGCAATCAGGTTGGTCTGACATGACCTGCCCCTAATGAAACCGTGCTGGTTGCCCTTGAGCATCATCCCCGATGCCGGCCCATCACAGATGTGCTCCTTGATGATCTTCTCAAAGAGTTTCCCCAGGATTGAGGTAAGACTGACGGGCCTATAGTTGCCTGGGTCCTCCCTCCTCCCTTTCTTAAAGATGGGGACCACATTGGCTATCTTCCAATCATCTGGCACCTGGCCCGAGCGCCCTGAGCGCTCGTAAAGCTGTGTCAAGGGCCCAGCAATAACCCCTGCTAGCTCCCTCAACACCCTGGGGTGGAGAGCAGTCCTTAGACAATTGTTCAGATGCATTTTATAATGTCCTGGGAGAAACTGTTGGCATGTCTTATCCCGTGAACCTTTTTAGGGTTTGTCCTGGGACAATGGACAGAGATGTCTGAATGATTGTACTTTGCCCCAGGATAAAATGGTTTCTCCTGGGAGTATTGCAATTGTTTTTTGTAGCCTCATGCACACACAGTTTTAAAACACTGGCTGATTTTGAAAGGCTGACATTAAAGGTAGTCCCCTTATTACTTGGGATCCTCTTCATTTTGCCAAGAGTAGCTATTGGAACTACTGAGGTCTTGCCAACTCTAGTGACTGTTCACAAATGTTAAACTATTGGGCATGTTTCCAAAAGCTTCAGACCTTGGGGTTGTGTGATTGTGTGTGAATCCCAGCTTTTATTTTCTAATGCAAACTGTATGTCTCTAACCCTTTGGGTTGTGGAGGAAAGTTTAAAACTGTGACTCGGGTGCACTGTAAAGATTCAGAAACCACAAAGTAAATAATAACAACCTCCATTGTATTATGTTTTCAAATTCTCCTGATTTTTTAATTAAACTCACAATTTTGGGTGATGGGCAAGGGAAGGGGAAGCAGGAAGTAAGGGAGAGCTCTCTCATAATTGTTGAACCCTGAGGTTACATTTGGCAATCTACTTTTGTTTTTGGATACTTCTAGGTTGGCTGCCCAGCTAGAGGCAAAATATCAGTTGCGGGAGGGAAAAAGAAGGACTTTTAAAATGCTCTGCTCTGTGGTGTGGGGAGATTTTTGGTGAGAATTTCCTAAGCATCTCTAGACAGGCTATGGAAAACAGCGTTGGGGTAGCTTCTGGGACAGAGGTACAGTACTGGGACAGTATGGCTTTGGAGGGCTGGGGTCAGGGCAACAGGCTGTATAGTGAGGGGAACAGGTTTGTGACAGGTGAGGTCCTGGTAGAGTAGAGGGCAGGTCACTGGCTGTGTTCAAAACCTTTTGGCATTGAGAAGGCTCTGCTTGGTGGCTTCTTCAGCTCTTGGACATATTTGGTAGTGACTCCAAGGAAGTCCATTATCTCCCTACAGTAGCATCATGGCATCAGTAGCCCCTGGTGGTGGTGGTGCTGCTGCTGTAATGCAGTGATGAACATAGGAGTGTACCTGCCCTGACAACCTCCGCCCCGTCCTAGAGTGCCCAGCCAGCCATGTTCCCTGGCTCTACTAGCCAAGCACTTTACCAATTGCCTGGTTCCCTGTTAAGCAGCAGTGCCCTGGGAAGCTGAGGAGCAATGCCCTGGGAAGCTGAGGAGACATGGGCATGTACACTCAGAGGCAATAGGAAGAGTGGGAATGGGGGCTAGGAACTGGGGTTGTTGGGTGAGGGAAGCAAAAGTAAATGTCTGGTTGTGCTTTTGTCATTTGGTATCCTGTCACCGTGCTGCTCATCGACTGCCTTTATAAACCACTACAGCTTCTCTTCTACCACCTGACAGCCCACATCTCTTCCTCATCCTCTGTTGCCAGGACACCAACACAAACAGCGCTTAGGTTTGGATTCTGTCATTTCTGCACACAAAACCACTTCCAAATTTAGAGCAGTTGCAAACTGTGTTTCCCAGATGCAGCAGAAAGTTACTCCCTCTGGCCAGCATTACTCCCTCACTCATGCTCACAAATACACACGCGCTTGCAGAAGGGGTGCGGTTTCTGAAAGCCATGTCAGTCAGCTCAGTGTATTAGCATGTATGATACAAATAGGCCTAGTAGTAGGGCTTGGGAAGAAGGACCAGGACAGTAGCAGTGAAGGGTCCTTGGGTATAGCTGCTAAGCTGCTCCTTTGAGTCCCCTGTGATAGGTGATTTAGAGGCAGAAGAGCTTTGTGTTCAATTTGGTTTGTTTCCTAGAAGACTGAGGGTAACATTTTCTCAGAAACCAAAGACCTATTTTAAAACATGCCTCGGGCTAAGTTTCTGACTCTTGATTTTCTTCACTTTGGAAGTTATTGCCTCCTGAGAACCTGAAGTAAGGCTGCACATTAGAAGATGAAGACCCAAACTGTCTTACTTTGGTTGCCATCCGTTTCTTAAGTACTTCATCCAGCTTTGAAAAAGATTGTAGCTCTGAGAGAGGGGGAGGTCCTGAACCTTGGTATGGACATGTGTCAAATAGCAGAGCATGTTACACCTTCATCTTGGTGCTCCTTTTGCTGCATGATTAATGCTGTCTTCTCTAGAATGCATTAATTTGCCATGTTACTTTTGCATTAGCTTTCATCTCTGACCCCCAAATCTGCGCTGTGATTATGTGGGGATCTGAGCAAGTCCAGCAGGCATGATCAAGACCTAAGGTTATTTGCAAAGTTTCTTATCCACTCAAATTTGCCATGTGTCACTTAGGTGCTGCGAGAGAACAGCTAGACTCTTATGCAGGTTAGCCAATGTTATTTCTTCACAAATATTGTTTTTTCTTTTACTCAGAACAGCCTTCTGGCCTCCCCCTCTGCCCAAAGTATAGTTTGTCAGTGAGAGAGATTGTGTCAGTTCTGCACCGCAGCACAGCAGTGATGACCAGTATATCCTGTCCTCCTAACTGGAATTACGGGACGTTCGGTCCCTTTTTTACATGTGTGACTTTAACAGAGAATGCAAAGCAGATTTACTCTATAGTTCATAGAGAACACAAATTAAAGCAGCTGTTTTTGGTTAATTCCTAGGATCATGGAGGAGGTAGACGCAGCCATGGGAGGATATGAAGATGTCCTTGGACAAAGGCATGCAGAAGCCTCGACTGATGTGTACAGCTCACAGTTTGAAAACATTCTAGACAATGCGTCTTTATATTATAGCGCAGAATCACTGGAGACGTTATACTCTGAGCCTGATAGCTACTTTAGCTTTGAAATGCCACTCACTCCAATGATCCAGCAACGTATGAAGGAAGGCAGTCAGTTTTTAGAAAGGACTTCAGCTTCAGGGCAGCAAGATGCCTTTAAGCTTCCCACAGATGGTGAGAGTAAGAGTCATTGTGGAGAAATCTCCAATGGCTTCAGGGAAGTAAGTGGCACACTCTTCAAAGGAGACGTCACTGAGGTTACTCATCTGGAAAGGTAAACAGTTTGAACTGTCTCTTTTAATGGCATTTCTTTCAGCAGCTTAGTTCAAAAGCCATAGATGAATTCCAAATGCTGAACTACTTTTAATATAATTGGTGTTTTGTTTCCACTGAAATTAAAGGATGTGGGGAGGGAGAGAAGGCAAGTGCATTTGCTTTTTATCAGAAGTTGGCAGATTTTACATTTCCAAGGACTTACATTTTACATTCCAAGATTTTACATTTCCAAGGTCTAAGTGTGGTACTCGAGCAGCTCAATGGCTCCTTGAATGTGTCATCTCAAGAAGGTGGTATTTGCTAAAGCAATGTAATGGCATACAAAACATCCATTTATACTGCTCTGAGGTCATGCCGACCAACCTTTTGATCTGAATGTTAAAGGCGTGTAAAGTTAACTATGAATATTTTAGCTGAAACCATGACATTCGTGAAATTAGCAGTTTTGCCAGTGGTTTTAACCAGGACAGGATTTAATCCCTGCTGTACCTATGGATTCAGAAATATCTAATCTCCTTTCTACCTCCTGTCACAAAGTAGTCAGCTGCCATTTACTCCTGTATATTAGAAATTGTACAAGAGAGAGAATGGGGTACTGCAAGATATGAAAATGTTAAAAAACAGGGGTTTTATGTCAGGAGGGAGATAAAGAAAACAAGAGTGATTGTGAGGACTGGAAATTCAAGTGGCCAAAATGCAAAAGGATGCTAGACGTTTATAGGTATCCTCTTGTTGTTTGGGGAGCTTGACTCCATGCCAACTTGATTGGAGGCTGAAAGGTTTGGGAGAGGAAAGAGATGGTCTGGCTTAGAAATGCTACATTCAGATGCTAGCCTATGAACAGTGGTGGGAAACCCTGCTACTTTAAGTGCTCAGTACCCCCAGTTTCCAGATGAAGTCAAAAAGGGATCTTGAAGTGGTAGAGCCCAGAGAGATGTGGATATGATTCAGGATATGTCCAGGGGCTTTGCCACACAAAGCAAAGGGATGAAAACATAAGTACTATGACAATAGTTGAATGAAGGAGGGGTTGAGGCGGTGTTGCTAATGTCCCATAGGTAAAACTGAGAAAGTAGACACATCTTGAACCCTGTTCCATTTTTTTTTGCCTTGAATAATGGGAGAAAAGAAACACATACACAGATAACCTGGTCACCATGCTAGCAAAGAAAGACAACCCCCCTGCTCTAATTAGGTGGGTACAGGGAAATCCAGGTGGAGCAACATGGACAGCCCACAGTGTAGTGCTGCAGATGTGCACTACTTTGTCCCGTTGAACTATTTGAGCTGAAATTTCCTACATCTTGGGTTGAATGATATTGGAAAGCTTCAGGTAAACAGTTTCAGCCATTTCTGAGAATAAAATTAGTTTAAAAGATATACATATACATGGTTTTGCCAGCTCCTCAGTGTCCTTCACCAGGCTCCCTGGCCAGCTTTGTCCCTGAAATTCTCCAGTAGCTTCCACCTCTACTGTTGAGCTATTATAGGAAGTCATTATGAGTTGATGGCTTGCAGTATTTCAGGCACCCACTAGATGTCTCTGTTTGCCCTGTAGTGGCATTTACTTTGTAGTCCATGGGAATTTTCCTGTCCACCCCAGTGGGCCCAGGAATTTAGTCCAGAGAGTAATCTGAGGTCCCTGTACTTTGAAGTCTTAGGCATGTGTTCTTGTTTTTAAGCCTGGGAATAATCCTATTGAGTTCAATAAAACTACTTGCATATTTAAAGCCAAGCATACAGGTAAGAATTTTCAGGGCTAGGCCTAAACTTTGGGATGTTAGGAGTTGTGAAGGAGCGGTTGCGGTTTTTGGAAACCAAGCCAGAAGGCACAGAGAAGATGAGAACAGTCAGCAAATTGGGGGTGCAGGAAAGGACAGTTCTGTCTTTTGAGAGGTAGCAACATAAAATATGTGAGTGGCACCGGGGGAGGAAGTTGTGAGAAAAATATTGCCCAATGCTGATGTGTAGAGAAACAGATTGTAAAAGGAAAAATGATTCTTTTCAATCCAGTAAATAGCAAAAGGCAGGGGTTTGACAGGCAGGAAAAGGTTTAATGGTTCCCATGAAAATGAAAGTAGCCTCTCATGTAATAAAGGAGAAGCAGCCACTTGACACATACGGTTTGTTTGCACAGGCAGGATGAATCGGTCTCTTCCGGTAGTTCAGACCTTAGCAGCCTAATTCCCATATACTGTATTTTCTTGTATACAAATACACTTTTTGTCCAAAATTCAGCTGTTAGAAATGGGGGTTCACGTTATAAGCAAGAAAATATGGTATTAGTAGTGTCTGCCATTGCCAGGAAAGCAAAAGCACACCTCCCTTCCCCCCTGCCAGGCTCCTTCTGCAGAAGGAAGGACAGTTCGCCCTGCACAAATGGTTCATGGCCCCCATGATTTCTTTTCTGCCCAATGTTGCCATTTTTGCTTCATTCTGCCTTTCAAAAACCAGGTGAGTATCTTATTCAGGGGTGTGCTGCATGTACAGTATGTTGAAACCCGCTTGTCACCTCTATGGCAGCTTTTAAGGAGGCCCTAGCCTAAATGGTACTTGGGTCCTACATGTTGACTTGAAACCAGGTGATCCAACAGGGTTTACTTCATACCACTATTGTATCCCAGCCTTTTAATTAAAAAGCAGAAGGGTAGTATCCCTTATGGTAGGGAGGAAGGGAGCTACTTTGGTATGTGAAAGCCAGTCATGTGGCTTTGAAATAATATTTAATAATAATTATAAAAGAGTAGAAACATCCATGCTACAAGCTTTAATGGGTTCTATTGTGTCTGGAGGTTTGTATCCTGGTGGCTCAACCTGTTGCTGACCCTAGTTAGATTGGCAAGTCCTAACTGGACTATGGAGGACACAAAATGTGGCCACTAGGACATTGGGCCCACTGCATTTTCTGATTGTGGCCAGGGAGAGGGTCTCGCCTTTGCTGGAATTGTCCAACTTGCACATCTCAGTTGCTATGTTGGACCTCTCAGTTGCTTCTCAGAGCTGATGGGCCTCTCTGAAAGCAGGTTTACTGGTTGAAAAAAGAAATTCTCTGAACAGGTTTGTTATACAGCTCTTCTTGCAGGCTTGCTTTTGAAAGGCAGAATGAAGAAAAAATATATTTCCTTGCAATAAGTAACAAAGTAGTAGTAGCCAGGGAGCAGAGCTTGCTTATTATTCTGCTTCCTGAGTCATATGTAGCTTTTACTTCCACTTTTGCCCATAATGGGCAGAAACTCTTAAATAATTCTTGTATCTAGAGCACGCTACAATTTCTAGCAGCTGACTTTTGGTGAAAAGATTTTGTTGTAAGCAAGTATTAAAGGGGGCGGGAGGTGTGGAGTGGAGAAGAATAGCAAACTTGAAGATAATTTGTATATATCCATGAGATTCCAGACCAAAGTTTCCAAGGTACTTTAGGTTCTGCTTAGTGTGACTGACTTTGCTTAAGAGACTTTGGGCTCTTTCTGAATCTTTCACAGTTGTAATTGGTCACTCTTAAATCTTGTTCTCTCTCCTACTTGCTTGTTCTCTCTCCTGCCTCTCCATTGGCTCTATCTATGGTTATACTATGTCCTGCCAGCAGCCTGGTTATCATAGCAATCGTAGAGAAGTAGGGCTGGAACAGACCTCAGAAAGTCATCTAATCCAACCTCCTGCCTGAGTCAGGAAAAGTTTCGTGTCCCATATAGGAATTAAACCTACAATCTTAGGAGGTTGACAGATGTGCACTCCCTACTGTTACTCATGGCACTCTGCCAGAAGCATCATGAGTTACAGTGATCCCTAAGACCCAACAGACATTTGCTGTTGGGTCCGGGGGATTGGGGGATCAAGCTGCAGTTTGGAGCAGCTGCGTGCCTGCAGCTGCTGTCCCCTAGCCCTGCCCACCCCGCCTCCCAGCTCCGGTGGTGTCTTCAGAATGGGAAAGGAGGAAGGGGATGGAGGGAGCTTGGTCTGGGGTTTGCCCAGCCTGCACTGGAGCGTGCCATGGGTGGATTCATACCTCCTCACCTTGTGGGGAGGCTCCAATCCACCTGCCTCACCCTCTAGTGCAGGCTGCGCAACCCCAGACTGAGCTTCCTCCCCTGCCTTCTCCCATCCCATTCTGCAGACAGCACCCAGGGTGGGGCTGGGCTGGGTTACATCAATCCATTTCGCTCCCGGCATGTGCTGACACAAGTTAATGAAGGTACTTCTTTTTGGAGCATCTTCATCTGAACCCTCATTACATGAGGGTTCAGATTGTTGTGTGACTGGGCATTTTTCAAGTGCTCTGCAGCCTGCTTTTCTGTCAGGGCACAGCTGTAGAGTGCTTCAGGGGCTGATCGCACAAAACACTGTCACTTCTGTTAGTGCCCTTAGTGTTATTAGCACTATGCTCTGACCAGCTGAGCTAATCAACCTTTGTTATTTGTGTTTTCTTTGTTGCCTCTTCCTGACAAAAAGTGAAGATGATAGATAAAATCAGATTGGGTTCTGACCTTTATTGATTTCCCAAAACTCCTGCCACTTATCATTAACTGAATATACAGGGTAACATTGTGTGTTTTTGGCGGGGGGGCGGGGATTGTTTTGTTTTCTTTTTTTTTAATCTTGGGCAATTCAGATGAAATTTTCATTACAGTATTCATGTGAGACCACAGTATAAATGCTGGACCAAAATCCAGACGTCTCTCACATCCCCTTATGCTGTCTGAAAAGATTTATTCTTTGCAAATGCACAGTACCTGCTGTTCCATGGTTCCCTATATTTATGCAGTGATTTTTTTTATCACTTGATGTTTGTGTCATTATTTTACTTGGGATTTGATCTATAACATGGTAGTTATGAGGATCACACTTATGACCTTTTTTGAGAACAGTTGCTACATTTGTTTTCAGTACAGTCTTAAGGCTTGACAGGTGGCAGGTTTATGCTGGTATTAAAAAAGGAGTGGACAGATTATGTAAATTGCTCCACTAGAGTAAAGTTACCTGATCCAGTGTAGAATTACTCCT